GAATTATTGTCGGCTCCTCTCTTCCACAAGAGAAGCGTTAATTTGGGGGCAAATGAAGGAAAATAAATATTCTTGAGCTGCCTGAATTCCCTGGCAGTGGCAGCTTTCTGGGAGCGAGTGAAAAAGCTGGTACCACATTCCCCGTCCTTTCCTCTCTCCAGCTTTCTCCGCTTGGACCTGAACAGCTGTCTGCCTTTATCCACTCACAGGTCCAGAAATTCCTGGTTTGACTAATCCAAATTAATATTATCATTATTTATAGGGACATCACTTGCTCTCACATTCACTCCTTGGAAAATTTCTCTTTTTCTTACTACTCTATTCAGGCACTTTGATCCTTATTCAGGTCATTGGGTTGTGTGTGTGTGTGTGTGTGTGTGTGTGTGTGTGTGTGTGTGTGTTTATTGTACTGTTTTTATTTGTTTGCTTGTTTATTTGTTTATTATCACATCAATCAATGACCAAGTCCTGTTCCATCTAACTGAGATGTTCCTCCGCATTCCTCATCATCCTTTGCTTTGGGCCGTTACAGAGCCAACTTCACTTATTCTCTGGGGCTCTTTCTTCTTATAGCTCCTCCCCCATCCTCCTACAGAATCACAGGGCTGCTTCACTTAGAAGATTTTCCCGGTTCCCCACATTGCTTTGTTTAGCATAGAATTTCCTGGAAAATCTGTCTCTAGTTCTTTGTTCCATTGACACAAGACTGCATAGTTCCTGAGCCACAGCCGAGTTAAGACCTTTGAAGGTTCCAAGCATCGAACACATTTTGATCCCTCCCAGTGTCTCACAGGTTACAGCACTAATCGGTAATTTAATGTTTTATTGTAGGAAATCACCCACACTTAGGCATAAGCTGAAAGTAATGAGCACTTTTCTAGATCTTTCTGAATTCCTCTCTTTCCTCTCTAGCAGCGCTCCAGCTTCGCTGGTGCCCCCAGGAAATGTTCGTTCTGACTGTTGGGGAGTGTAGCACTGCCCTCACCCCAAATCTGACTCCGCTTTTGTGCAAAAGTTGACCTCTGGCTGGAAAGTCTATCCGCCTCTTCATCCATGTAGTTAACTGCTCGCCCTTCAAGGTTCAGCTCAAATGTAACTTCCTTTATAAAGCTTTCTCTACTGCCCCAGGAGTACTGGTCACTCAGCTTTTTGGTGGGGATCTTTGCAGCAGCACTTGTTCGGTTATGATAAATGATCTGTGTCTCGCACCCCTGCTCACATCCCCATGTGTTATCATTAAGTCCTCACAGTGACCATATATTAAGGATGAAGATGCCCATTTTTTACAGATGAGTAAACTGGAACGTCAGTCACTTACCTCACACAAACTATTTTTAAGATCTCCTGTGGCAATGAATACAATCTATAATGATAAAAGCATAAGATGCTAATTAGATCAGACGTCCTTCCAGATGACCTCCTGGATTTCCTTCTGGACGACCTTCTGGACCATCTTCCTGACTGAGCCAGGCCTGTGAGGGAAACCCGGGTCCTAGGTGCCAGAGGGAAGCTGGTGTCAGCAGCAGAAGAAAGGAAGGCCTACTCTTGCATGAATTCTGTGCATCAGGCCTTTAGTTAATTTATAAAAGACGAAGAGCCATAGAACTGGAAGGCTTGATTTTTAAAAAATATATATATTTTATTGATTTTGTACAGAGAGGAAGGGAGAGAGATAGTTAGAAACATCGATGAGAGAGAGTCATCGATCAGCTGCCTCCTGCACACCCCCTACTGGGGATATGCCCGCAACCAAGGTACATGTCCTCGACCAGAATCAAACCCAGGACCTTTCAGTCCCCAAGCTGACGCTCTATCCATTGAGCCAAACTGGTTTCAGCTTGATTATTTTTGATACATTACTCTGGTGTGTGGTAATAAGTGTTCACGTTGATATTTTCTTCTTGACAATAGTGGAGGGAATTTATGATTCCCACAGAAGGAAATCCTTTCCATGTTCATTAAAGTAAAATGTTAAGAATGCTGCTGTGCACAGGTGCCATGAAAATAATGAGGCTAGTCTGTCCCACACATTTCAGGTTAATCCCCGCTCCCCTGAGGAAAAGCTGAGACTCAGGTCTCTGGAGGGGAAAGGCAAAGGCTAACACCGTCCCTGGTTGTGCCTTGTCTCCCCTTTCTCTCGTGCTTTGTTTTTCTCACCTTCGTTTTTCTTCATGGAATTGCATTAGTAGAGTTCAGCACCATCGTATCCCAGTAAGAAAAAAATTGAGGGAGATAAATATCATGAGCTGTGCACAAAACAACAGTAGCAATCTTTTAAGTTTATTATGGAAGCAAAGAATATAGCCCATAGAATTTAATCTTTGACAATCAAAACAAGGATTTCTAGCAAAATAAATAAGACTAGTTTTTTTTCTCGTTGGGTCTTACCTGTGTTTTATTGCTAGCAAGCCTTTCAACTTAACCAGTTTCCCAGCCAAGATTTTCCTTAATTAGCATCAGGAGTTCCATTAGCTATTTTATGAGTTATTGGTTAGAGATCCTCATTAGCTTTGCCGTGGTCTTAAAATTATCTTGACATTTACTATCTTACTATATAAGATTTTATGGTTAATTCTCAGTATATACAAATTAGGCCTCAGGTCGTTACATTTTTTACAGTGTACACACATTTCACAGAATCTCTTGTATCTTAACATTTTCTTTATAATTTTATATAAATTACTGGCAACCAATTTATCAGGCTTCCTCATGTTGTTATACACATAAATAAGAAAAACTATATATCACTCAGTTATAGTAGATCTTTTGAAAAGTATAAAAATATCAAGGTTTCATGTTTTTGCAAAATAAAATAATTTAATGAAGTTTTATAATTTGGCTTTATCGCCAAACTTTACCATTTTTTATCGTGTATTTTGAGCATACATGCTCAAAGTATTGTCCAGGGAGCAGGGAATAAAGTAATGTTTCTGTCCCCAAATCACTAGACTATGTAGTGAAGAAGAATTAAACATCTAGTTACTTAGGCATATTTCAGTTCAAGGTGTGTTATTTCCCCTTTGTTCCACACTCTAAAACAATGCAAGACAGAATACCGCCATCCATGCAATAATACTCTTTTAAAAATTTGTGTTGAACAATTTGTTTATTGTTTTGTTTTCCATCCCATCAATATGAGGGCCTAAAAAGTGCCAGAAATTAGAACACATCGATGAACAACACAGAAAGATTTATTACATTCAGATGAAAAGGAAATGTAGTAAATGCAAAAAGTGTAAACAGTAAGTAAAGAACCATTTTCAAGTAATGATTAGTGCCACACTATTCCCTCAACAATTAGTATTACTATTTTTTTTAACTTGGAAGGAGTTATGCAATTTACTGAGTGAGAAAATAGGCTGTAAAATATCTTTACGTGGTAAGATTCATTTCTTAAACATATGTACAGATATGTATAGACAAGGTGTGTTAAGGGGTACAGATTAAAGCATTAACAGTGTTCTCTCTGGATGGTGGAATTAAGAGGAGTTTGGGTTTTTTGTTTTCTAAAAAATTTATTTTTATTGTTGAAAGTATTCCAGATGTCCTTATTGATCCCCTCCACCCTGCTCCAGCACCCTCCGCAAAACCATTATTTTTTGAGTGCCTACTCCATGTGAGATGCTGATCTATAAAATAAACCATAGGGTGATGGTGAGTAAAGAGGGAGCTGTCTTATATTAGCTCTTCAGGGAAGCCTCTCTGAGAAGGTGACATTTGAACTGAGACCTAAGAGACACGTAGAAACAGAAGAGTTTCCTAATCAGGGTCCTTGGTGACTATGGATAGAATTCAGGATGGGAAATGAGGGTGGAAAAAATAATTACTTATTTTCACTGAACTCAGACTGAAACTTAGCGTTTTCTTCTACTTGAATGTAGACAACAAACCTCAGTGGTATTAGCAGCACCTGTTACTTGGTGATCAGTATCTTCTTACCATATCTCAGTTCTTGCAGGCATTTTGAAATGCCGTCTTTGCTTTGAAATTATGGTACAGTTATGTGCCACATAACAATGTTTTGCTCAGTGATGGACCACATATGTACAGTGGTTCTATAAGGTTATAATAGAGCTTAAAAATTACCATCGCTGCCCTGGCCAGAGGACTCAATTGGTTGGAACGTCATCTGTCCACCAAAGGCTGGGGATTCAATTCCCAGTCAGGGCATGTAACTAGGTTGCAGGTTCAATCCCAATCAGGGCACTTAGGAGAGGCAACTGATTGATGTTTCTCACATCAGTGTTTCTCCCTCTCTTTCTTACCCCTTCCCTTTTTCTCTCTCTCTCGAATAAAATTTTAAAAACCATGTCCTTGGGTTAAAAAAATTAGAATTAAAAAATATTCCTATCACCTAGTGACATCAGAGCTGTCCTAACATAGTAGGACAACACATTACTCACATGTGTGTGGGGATGCTGGTATAAACAAGCCTACTGTATCGCCAATCACATAAAAGTGTAACACATACAATTATGTATAATACATAATACTCAATAATGATAGTAAATGACTATTATACTGTTTTATGTGTTTACTATGCTTTTAATCATTATTTTAGAGTATATGTACTCTTCCTACTTATATAAAAAAAGTTTGCTCTAAGACAGTATGCCATGTTACGTCGGCAGCAGCAAAAAACATTTTGTAACTTCCTTTATAAAATACATCTTGTATTTACTGTGTCTCTTTGAATAATTTTCTGCTGTTTTATTTATTCTTGTACTGTTTTTGTGCAGTGCAGTAGCATGCTGTATAGGCTTATAGCCTAGGAGCAATAGGCTGTACCATAGAGCCTTGGTGTGTTGTAGGCTAGACTGTCTAGGTTTGTGTGAATGCACTCTGTGATGCTCATGCCACAAAGAAATCGCAAGGAAACAAATTTCTCAGCATCTGTTGCCGTTATTAAATGGCACATGAGTATTATTTCCTGCCCAGACGTTACATTTCATACCTAGAATAAGAAGGGTTTGTATTGATGCTTTATTGTATCATTTCAGAACAATGAAATGGTGGAGCTGCAGAGAATACGGATGAAGGATGAAATTCGAGAATATAAATTCCGAGAGGCTCGGCTCCTTCAGGACTACACTGAACTGGAAGAAGAAAATATCACATTGCAGAAGCTTGTGTCCACGTTAAAACAGAACCAGGTAAGATTTAAGAAGTTATTTGGTTACACACCAGATGGACCATGTCTTTGGACCATTAAGGTTAAATCTTCTCTTTATTTCTTTGTTAGGAACCTGTCAAAATAAGCCTTAATCTCCCCACAATATTTATGTGCTGAAATTTCCCAGTGCTTCTATTTTAGCTAAGAAATTTCCCAATTCTTCTATTTTAGCTAAGATTTAGAAGGCAAACCTAGAAGTTGTATGATTTACAGTAAAGTTTCATTGGGTAAGAAAAATCTTAGTTTATACTTTAGCTCTATGTTAATTTATTTCAGGAATAAATCATATGTATTATAATAACTTAACCTGACAACTTATTATAAACCTGATCATAAGCTTGTTTTGTATTACAAACTTAAGGTCTCCCACCAATCCTCTCTCTCTTCTTCTTCTCGCTCTCTCTCTCTCTTTCCGAAAATGACATTTGCATTATATAAGGAAATGGATTAAGAAATAGAAAGCAGTAAGAACAGAATTATAAGAAAAAGAAAATGCCTGATTTCTTTTTTCAGCTGTAACCCGACTAAACAGATGGCATGTGTACGTTTAAATAATTTTTTTGGTAGTAAGGCTTAGCTTAAATGTTTAATTTTCCTTTATTAGCTATAGCACTCTTGAACCTGTAATTTGAGAAGAATTTATTTATGAATACAATTTTATCAAGTAATTAAGTGAGGCTGGATTGTATATTAAAAGTCTTTCCAGAGTGCTTCTTCAGCCACAACTTCAATTCTGATCTAAATGCTATTGTAACCTCTCAGTTCAGGTCAACACACTAAATACCAGGTGCTGTGCTAGGCTAGGAAGATATGAAATCCATAGAATAGCATTCTTTAAAAAAAAAAAAAAGATTTATTTTATTGATTTTTTTTACAGAGAAGAAATAAGAGGGATAGAGAATTAGAAGCATCAATGAGAGAGAAATATTGATCAGCTGCCTTCTGCACACTCCCCACTGGGGATGTGCCTGCAACCAAGGTACATGCTCTTGACCGGAATGGAACCCAGGATCCTTGAGTCCGTAGGCAGACACTCTATCCACTGAGCCAAACTGGTTATGGCTAGAATAGCATTCTTGCCCTCAGTAGACTTAAAGGCCAGCCCAGATGTTTCTACTTCTTCTTTCTACTCACGTTGGTAGCTCAATCCCAAACTATTATGGCTTTTGATAGATACAGGGGTTAAGAGAAGAAAGGCAATATCCAGAGGGGAAAAAAAATCCAGGAAAAAAATATAATTGCAATTTGATTTCTGATCATTGCCATTCCCCCCACTTTTGGGATGCAGGGGAACAACATGTCTTCTAAGGAGCGCAGGATCGACTTCAGATCATGAAAAAAGGGTTACCAGGATGTCACCATGTGATCTTACCTTATTCCCTCCCTTTTAAGTCTGAATCACTGTGTGTGTGTGAGCGCACGTGCGCATGCAGAGGGCTCTCAATACCATGGACGTTCCAGCTCTTGATTTGACTGTGGTGATTGAACTCACAGTGGAGAAAATTAGACTTCAAATAGTTTTTTTTAGAAACTATGCTTCTCATAAACTTCTTAAAATAAGAAGGCTATTTTTTGTGGTCTGTTTTTTGTTGTTATTTTTATTTATTTATTTATTTTTGTATTTTGGTCACTCGTGAAGTATGTAAAGGCTTTACAGCAAATATACTTGAAGTGCAAATATTTTTTATATTTTTTATTGTTTAAAATATCACATATAGTAGTACATATATCTCCTCCCCCCTACCCCCCATTGACCTTCCCCCAGCTTCTCCTACCCCCACCTCCCATCACATGCCCTCATCCCACCCACCCCCCACCCAGTGTCTTGTGTCCATTTGTTGTGCTTATATGCATGCATACAAGTCCTTCATTGGTCTCTTTCTCCCCTTCCCCCCAACACTCCCTGCCTTTGAAGTGCAAATATTTAAAGCAGTCATTGTTTGATTCCTAAAACTCCTCAGTGCTCTCTGCACAGGCAGCAGTGCGCCCAGAGCCGCGCTGTGGGACCTCCCCTCACTGCAAGTGGCAGACTCATTTACTCAGGAGGTTAATTTAGGCCAGGATTACGTATTCTTGAAAGACCGCCAAGGTATCCTATGAGTCCTCATTAACCCAGAGGCCGCTTTGGTGGGAGTTTGTACGAGCAGTCTGGCAGATTGCTGTTTACAGTTTACCCGGGCCCTTCCACCGGTAATTGAAACGTGGGAATAGAATGCTTAACTCAGAAGTTTGAAGAAGAAAAAAAACCAAATGTAAACATCTCTTTAATTTTATTTTCTAGATGCAATATGACAATTTCCCAATTAAGTGTCTAGTTCATTACTTTGAAATAACTTTCCTTACAAAGGGCCATTCTGGCTTATTCCCTGACAGAGGGATATACTGTCACGTCACAAGTCTCTTTCAATTAAGGAAACACCGGTTTGGTTTTTGTCTCCTACTGTTGGCCTTTATTTATAGCATCTGTTATAAACTCAGTATATAATTAATGAAATATTAAGTATAATAATTTATGCCACATATTTTTTTCCCAAACAGATGATGATGGTTGACTTTCAACCTCAAAATTGAACTGATTGTTGCTTTGAACTGCAGCTCTCTATACAAAATACACTCTCCAGCCTGGTTTGATGTTTCTCTCAGCAGCAAAGCTGTTAGCATTATATAAGACTTAGTTCAAAGAACTAGAAGATTCTTTCCTTCTGAAGTTCCATTTTCCTTAAGGGTTATTTTCTTTTTAAAATATTGTTTAAATAGCACTTTTTATTTCCTTTATAGTTTTTTTTGGTCCTTTTTGAAATTTTTTAAATAAATTATTATCTGTGTACACATTTTACCATTACCCCCCACCTCCCATACATACCCTCCCTCCCCAGAGTTTTGTGTCCATTGGTTGTACTTATATGCATGTATACAAGTCCTTTGGTTGATCTCTCTTATCTCCCTCAGATCTCCCTCCCCTCCCCACTGTAATTTGACAGTCTGCTTGTTGCTTTACTGTCTCTACATCTATCTTTTGGTTCACCAGTTTATAATGTTCTTTATTATCCATAAATGAGTGAGGTCATGTGGCGTTTCTCTTTCATTGACTGGCTCCTTTATAGTTTTTATGTATTAGTTTGTTTATTTTCCATTTCTCCTCCACTATGATATAGCACCTCACCTAGAATAGAGCCTGGCCTGTGGAAGATATTAAATAAATACCTGCTGGCGGAAAGAATAAATTGTTTGTAAGTCTCTGTTACATTCACTCAGCGAGGAAATTATAATTCACCAAACCAATTTTTATATGTGGTCTTAAATATGAAATATAGAGAACATCATCAACAAATGACTGCAAAGTTGAGCCACATCCCTCCATGTGCTGATTTGGTTCTGTGTACCAAATGAAAGCATTCTGAATGCATTTTCCACCTATATGCTTTTTTTTTTTTTTTTTTTTTTAAAGCGAAGCATAGGAAAAGCAGCAACGATAAAAAGCGGTCAAGGCAACTGTCAAAAAAATCCACTGATGAAGCAAAGCTGATTTTTAGACCTCTTGCAAAAGAAACCACCTCGACAAAACCTTAGTAATGTCTCAAAATGGGAGCGTTAGGGAAGAGTGTTTGTAGGATTTTAGGATCTGGACTGGGTTTTGCCAGGTGGCAAATGGTCGGGACAGATTGAGCTTATAACAATAGCTTTGAGTTGGAAAGTACAACAGAGTGAGCATCTTGACATGAGTCTTGAGGAAGCTGTGTGACTTGGGTCTCCTCTTCCAGGAGCGAGCAGTCCCTGTAAGCAGCTAAGTTTTTCATGCCTCGTCCTATTATTGGTAGCAGAGCTGAGGGATAGGAAAATTTGCCTGGTTGCAGTATTAAAACAATTGTTTGACATAGGGCAGGAAATTATATTAGTTTTAATTTTTAGAAACATGATAGTGAGAGGAGGGGGAAATAATGAATTCCATTTCCCTAACATCTTACATATTGAACTAAAGCACTCAAATATGTGTTATCTACTTGTTTAAATTAATAATTCAATTTATGTCTGTTATGAAAAACATTTCCTCCAGGGATCTATTTCTATATCAGGCAATAATATCATAAGAGACCTAGGGAAGTGCTATTCAATTCAGTTTGACTTCAGTGAACCAGTGTTTCCAGGGTATTTTTCTATAAAGCCATATACTTTTTTAAGAACAAAGATATGGTCACTGGCTCAGAGAACGTATAGTCCCAGTAAGGAAGGCAGGTGATAAACTCAGCCATTTATGTAGTTGCATATTAAAGCTATATGTTAGGTTTGGCAATACAGGGCCACATTAAGATCTTTAAAGTTTCTGACTTTGAAAAGGTTATGGTACCTATTCCCAACCCCCATGTAATAAAAAATAAAAAGAGCTACTCAACTGTGAACTTGCTATAAGGAATCCCAACAAAATACTGATTTTTTTTTTTTCTTCTCACGGTAACAACTTTGGTGCTGTTTTTAAAATATTGGACACCAATTTTTAAGTGCTTTCTCACCCTGTTTCTTGGTTGATACAGTTTGCTGGGGCTCTAATTATCTGATGCCACCTTGCAATGATGGCACCATGGAGTGAGCTGTCAGCCTGAGCAGGTCAACAAAGACCGGAGTTAGGGTTAGATTCCTAATTTGGATCTTGAAGGATAAATAAGAGTTTTCTGATGTTAGCCTTCACCTAAGCAGAGAAAGACAAAAATATCTGGGTAAATATCAGGAGTTTGAACCAGTGAGTGGAGTGAGTCAAGCTGCCCAAATGGAAAGAGATCAGGTGTCATAGGAAGTCTCCTATCAATTGAATACAAATCACAGAATTTAAAAAAATCTACAAAACACTAAATTAATGTCATCAAGCCCAGGAGTTGACACACTTTTTCTTTAAGGGCCAGATAGTAAATATGTTAGTTAGGTTTTGCAGGCAATACAGTCTCTCTTGCAACTACTGCACTTTGTTCTTGTAGCGTGAAAAGCAGTCATAGACAATATGTAAACAAAAGAGCATGACTGTGTTTCAGTAAAACTTTATTTACAAAAATACATGGATCTGTGAAATTCCAATGACTCCGTATAGCAGTAAGTGTTGGTTGTCCATCAGTATCCATTATTCCTTCTCCCAATTTTGTATCCAGTTTTTAACTGGGCATAATCTACCCAGAGTAAAAAAGTATATTCATCACCTCCCTTGCAACCAAGTGTCATATGACTAGTCCTGGCCAGTGGGATATGGGAAGTGATATGGACCACCTTTGAGACAGGTCCTTAAAGGGAGAAGGCATGCCCCTTACCTTGTCCCACTGCTTGGAACATAATCAAAATGGCAAGCCACCTTAGACCATCTGGACCAATGAGAGGTATTGCAATAAGCTAGGAGGAGCCTGGTTCCTGGCTGACCTCATGGAGCAGAGATTTCTACTGGTCCTTGATTGACAACTTCCATATTGTTACATGATAGGGAAACAAACTCTTATCTCGACTAAATCGCTCTTATTTAGGCCTCTGTTATATCAGCCAAACCTACATCCTAACTGAAACTATATTGAAAACTGTTATCCTAACCTTTGCAAGACAAGCCATTGAGGTTATGTGAAGAAGGATGGTGGGGATGGGGGAGAATTAGAAATGCATGAAAGTGATAATGGTCTATGATCCCTATATTTTAGTTTTTAAAGGTTTTTTTTTTTTTTAAAAAAATACAAGTTTAAACCAATATAAACCAAAAAATTTTTTTAAAACTAAACACATAGGTAATATTAGTACCTCATATTATAATGACTTTATTATATTACTTTTTCTATTAATTTTTTTTATCCACAATAGTTTATTCAGCAACTTACTGTAGAGCAGAATTCTGTTAAAACACTACAAGCAAACCCTGAAGCATTAGGAAGGACACTTTGGTGCATAAAAAGTCTTTCCCCTCTCTGAGGAGATTACAATGTAATGTGGAGATAAAATATTTTTTGAAAAGTGCTTGTGATAAGTGCCATGGAAAAGGCCCCAAGAGAGGAATGTTGGTTTAGGGTAGAAATCTTTTTCTCTGCGCTTTCATGACCAAGAGGGTGTTCGAGCAGGCTCTTATTTGATATAATTCAAAATAATATTACACTGATAACAATATTATATATATGTATGTATATAGGTGTGTATATATATATATATATATATATATATTTGCATGATAGTTATTCCAGATTCTATCCTTAAGCACATAAAAATTTTTTTGCGTCCTCATCTTACCCTTAAACATTTTTATTGAAATTATGTTTTATTGTTTCTTTTTATTTATTTATTTATTTTAAAAATATATTTTATTGATTTTTTTTTACAGAGAGGAAGAGAGAGGGATAGAGAGAAACATCCATGAGAGAGAATCATTGATCAGCTGCCTCTTGCACACCCCCTACTGGGAGTATGTCTGCAACCAAGGTACATGCCCTTGAATCGAACCCGGGACCCTTCAGTCCGCAGGCCGACACTCTATCCACTGAGCCAAACCGGTTTCGGCTATTGTGATCTTTTTAACTAATTTATCTCTGGGTATAAAAATTACTTCATTATTAATAAAAAAAAACAACAAGTAATAGTGATGATGAAATCTTGGTTGTGAATAGTCTCATAAACAATCACTAAAGAAAAAAATCCCCAACTTATTAGGCCAGCCGTGCCCCCCTCCCCTTTTTTTTAATATATTTTATTGATTTTACACAGAGAGGAATTGAGAGGGATAGAGAGTTAGAAACGTCTATGAGAGAGATACATCGACCAGCTGCCTCTTGCACACCCCCCACTGGGGATGTGCCTGCAACCAAGGTACATGCCCTTGACCAGAATCAAACCCGGTACCTTTCAGTCCGCAGGCTATTGCTCTATTCACTGAGCCAAACCAGTTTCGGCTAGCCGTGCCCCTTTTGACCATTGGACCTTATAAAAGAAATCCAAACACAGAATACATTTTCATCTCTGCTAAGAATTGAATTTATCTTGATATGTAATTTCTAAAAAAAAAAAAAAAATCCTGTGTTACCGTAAGGGTATACACTAATAGACTGTGTATTTATAGACTTATTTTGTAGACGAATGTTTTGATTTTTTTTTTAAATGATTAGGTCCACTAGAGTGTCTAATGGCAGTTTTGTAAGACGCAAATTTTAGTTTTATGAATCTTCTCTGTCCTATCTAATCCAGGTTGAATACGAAGGCTTAAAGCACGAGATTAAGCGGTTTGAGGAGGAGACGGTGCTGCTGAACAGCCAGCTGGAGGACGCCATCCGGTTGAAAGAGATCTCCGAGCACCAACTGGAGGAAGCCCTGGAGACCCTGAAAAACGAAAGGGAGCAAAAGAACAACCTGCGGAAGGAGCTGTCCCAGTACATCACCCTCAACGACAACCACCTCAGCATCTCCGTGGACGGACTCAAGTTTGCGGAGGACGGGAGCGAGCCGAACAATGACGACAAAATGAACGGGCACATCCACGGGCCTCTGGTGAAACTGAACGGAGACTATCGGACTCCCACTTTGAGGAAAGGAGAGTCCCTGCACCCGGTGTCTGACTTATTCAGTGAGCTGAACATTTCAGAAATACAGAAATTGAAGCAGCAGCTTATGCAGGTAAGAATTTTGTTTAAGGGCATTAGAATGAATTTCTTACAGATTGCGTAGCATGTTGTGGGATTTCTTATTCCTACATTTTTTGCTCCAGATTATTTTTTTTTAAATATTGCTTCTTTAATTAGCAACTTGAAAGTGCAGTATTTTATAAAGACACAACAGAAGAAGTGTTGAGGCATCTCATGTGCGTTGCTTTAAGAAATTTCTCTCTTGGAGTCACAGATCAGATCTCAGTCAGAAGGCAGCTCGATGCATGTCTAACAAAAGAATTCAGACTTTCTATACAAGTGAAATGACAGAAAATTATCCTTTCCATCTTAAGCAATTGTATATTGTCAGCATAAGAAACACTCTTATGAGTTTATTCTTGTGAGTTTATTTGAGCCAAACTGTTGACAGCTGCTGGGAAGCAAAATCTCAACGGATTGAGCTAATGCTCCAGAGAATGCTAGTTTTGCACCATATTTTATATATTATAATCAAAAGAGGAGTCGTAAGTGGGTTACATGAAATCCATTAGTGATAGATTAGGGAGGTGGGAAAAAGCAAAGTGGGAAACCCTGGGGTTAGTTGAAAAAAATAAAATGATAGATACATACATCTTCTACTTAAGTAGGTACACAGGATAATTACCAGACAGCAATGAACTCAGTAACAATGAGGGGTTTTGTGGTTTCCACCGAGTGGTGCCTGTGCATTGAGGGGTCCAAAAAAAGGAAAATTACTTGGACATTCCAAGGATATGTTATTGTAGATGCAAAAAGACAATAGACAGTCTCAGTGAAGGTACAGATTGACTTTTGTCAGGGAAGGTGCTGGCCGAGGACATGATTACCTGCCATAAACCGCTTTTAGTAAAAAGGTTTTCATTTCAGACCATCCTTTGTGGTTGAAAGATGAAACAGAGGGGCCGGAGACCAGGATGCCAGGACATAGGCTTTATTGAAGAGAAGAGTACCACTGCCGGCTGCTTCCAGAGGAGAGAGTGAGGGCCGGGATTCAGGCACCTTTTAAGGGGAGGAAAGAGATGGGATGGGGCTTAGGGCACTCAGCACACGCTGATTGGTGGTTTCATGTAAGGCACATGATTAGGGACCTAGGAATTTAGGAATGGGGGGCTTAGGGTATTTGGCAGGTGCTGATTGGTGGTTCAGTGCTCAAGAATGCCCTGCTGCAGGTGGAATTTACATCATTCTCTGTCCATCAGTTGAGGAAGGGAGGACCTATCAGTGGTTACTTTAGGTCTCTGAGTTTGTAAGGCCGTCTTTGCAAGCCTTCCCTGAGTTTATCCGGTTAGTATGTGGTCTCTTTTAGTCTACAATATATAGTTTCAAGAATAGTGGTTATATTTCACAGCAATACTTCGACTTACTATATACTAACTAGCCTGGAAACCATATGATTAAATACAGAACAGATATAAATCTAAAACCAAGGCATTCTGATCCCAACATAAATTAGGCCTTAATTTTAGCATATTCAAATAAGATGTTTTGTGTTGAGTCCGCGTTTAAGCTAATCTCATTGTAAAATGGCCTTCTATTATACTTTGAGTCTTGCCTCTGTGCTATACTTTAATCCAGTGCTGGTGGAAATTTTATCTGGATAACATCATCACCATCACCATCACCATCACCTGGGGGCTTCTTAGCACTACAAATTGTTGGGCTCCACACAAATCTACTGAACCAAGAATCTGGTTCAACAAGATTGTTGGGTGATTAAGCTTGAGCTTAAGCTTCAGAATGTTATCCCTCAAGGTGCTTTCCAAATAGCTGCTAATGAGAGTCTGTTAAGGCTCCAGCAATCATTTATTTGTATAGTATGGTACACAGCACTCATAATTTTCTACCTCTACAGAAATGATGAATAAAGAATGAAATTAGCAGAAATAAATAAGAGGTTAGAGTAAGAATAAAGTTAATTTATTAAAAGGCTTGCTTTTACTACTACATCGATTGAACATATCCTGCACTTGCTCTGTGCTTTGGGCTGCTAAAAGAGAATGTTTTCACAATGTTTCATTTGAATCAAGATAAGAAGGCACTGGATAGAAGAAAATAATTTCATATAGACCTTTGCCTGACTGTAAAGCCCACTTCTTTGTAGGTAATACTTTCACATGTCTTTTTGCTAAATGTACGCAAATCCAAGTAGGTTGATATTGAAGGGAGGGGAAACTTCTGCTTTTTTCCTTCTTAGTTTTTCGGTCTGGCCTGCCTAAGAATTAAACTGACAAGAGAGAGCCCTGGCTGGTGTTGCTCAGTTGGCTGAAGCATCGTCCTGTATGCTAAAAGGTCACAGGTTCGATTCCTGGATCAGGACCCACATCTAGGTTGCAGGTTCGGTCCCTGTTGGGGTGTGTAGGAGAGGCAGCCAATTGATGTTTCCCTCTCACATAGCTGTTCTCTCTCTATCTTCCTCTCTCTAAATTCAATATTTTCTGGTGAGGATTTTTTTTAATTGATACAAGAGAGATTAATAAGGGAAAACAGCCAAGTTTATTACATGTGTACATATGGGAGTTCCATAAGAATAGGGAACCCGAGGACAAATGGGGCAGTTCTGGGCTAAGGAAGGGGAGCAGGGGACTGGAAGGTCAGAGGGAATGTAGGCATGCACAGGTAGATAAGAAATAGTGAGCATTTGAGTAAACAAATTCTAATTGGGCCACAACAGTGGGGCACAGAGGGTGGGCTACCAAGCAGGCCTTGCTCGGCTCCTCCCTGTCTGCCACACTTATATTAAGCTTTGGTGATAGCTCCCTTCCTGGATTCCTTTGGGTAGGCAAGGAGAAGGAAAAAGGCTCTTCTTGAGTCTTTTGTTTCTTAAAAACAACCAGCTTAAAATAATCAATATTCCCCCCCCCCCAAAAAAAAAGATATATTTTGTGGGGGCAAATGCTGCTTCCCCCACCCCAGCGTGGTCAGGCGTGGCACTGAGTGATCAAACACTAACAGTTCCGCAGTGAAACATGTGAGTTTTCACACTAAGAGGAAAAAATGAGAGCCCTAAGAGGGCTCACCTCAGTCAGGTGCAGTTTTGCCGCTCAGGGAATTTAGTTTTGTCTGAATGTTGCCACCACGTGAAATACGATAAAACTTTAAAGAATTTTGCGATTGTCTCTGCCTTTGGTACAGTAATCGCTGTAACTATTAGACAGCTCTCAGTTTTGTATATCTCAGTGTGTAACCTCAGCATACTTGGGATGTGTGAGTTTTTATTTCCATAGTTCTCTTCTCTTAGGACCTCTTTTGGCCAGGGTCCAGAGCACTGCATTTGCGCCTTCACATTGAACTTCTGCTCTTGGTTAACACTGACAGTCTGTGAAGATGTAGGGGCACGGGCAGGGATAGAACACTCTATGCCAGGAATACGCAGCTTTTAAGAGTTTCTTCCTTAGGATTAAAGAAACCCTTTGGAAACTGGATATCCAGGCCACAGCCTTTTCTTATCTTATAAGATTCCATCTATGTATGTAAATGATGTTTTCCTACCCATGGGTATTTACTTCATCTGGTTCTGAAATGGGGGGAAGAAAATAAATCTGTGTTTCTGCCTTGGGTATCAGGAATGTTGGGTGAGTTGCTTCACTTCTCTGAGAACACTCATCCAGAGAAAGGTAATAAATTAGCCCCATCGCTAGTCTCCATGATGTCTCTTGTTGGAATTAGCGGGGAAAGCAATAACAACCAACCAGGTCCCCTTCCTCAAGATATCATACTGCCATCTGCTGGGAAATGGTAATAATATAAAAATCTAGGACAACTATCATTTAATAGTGCCCCCTAGCATTGTATGGGGGACAATAGTGCCCCCTGCAGAGAATTACATTGAAGTCCTGGTGAGCATCCCATCCAAGCCTCCTTGGAAAAGCTGTCATGAAGACTAAATGGATGGTAAATATGGAACCAGGTGTAAGTCTCCATTTTTTATAAGATAGTACTGGAACCGTCCATCAGTTTTAGAGGTGTCAAAAAGATTGCCACTTCCACTTTATATAAACAGTCAATATAAAAAGCATAGAAAGTACAGGGAAGGGCAAGGGATGGTAAGCCTATATCTATATATGGGGCTGTTTTTTTCCATACCAGAGAAAACCAGGGTGAATATTTTACTGAACTGTATTTCTTCTTGGGTATGCAATAAATTATAGGTATAATTTAAATTTAGCCAGTCATGCTAACTTTTACATAACACAAATCCATATGAATTAAAATATATATAAAAAAATTTCATGTAAGAAATTTATAAAATATGTATAAGAAAACGTTTTTTAAAGAACTTTAAATTTTATCTTTCAATTACAGTTTATATTCAATATTATTTTATATTAGTTTCAGATGTATTGCATAGTAGTTAGACAATCATATATTTTACAAAGTGATCCCCTGATATTTCCAGTACCCACCTGACACCATACATAGACATTACAATATTATTGACATATTCCCTGTGCCTTATTTTACATCCACATGATTATTTTATAACTACCAATTTATGCTTCTTAATCCCCTCACCTTTCACTCAGTCCCCCAAGAAAACTTGTTTTATTCATCTACAAGTCCCTATAAACTTGACAATAGGCTTTGATAGAGAACAGCTCAATTAGTGTCATTCTTTATCCACTAGGAGACATTTTTCAGAGTATTATTGGATAAATTATTTTGGCCTTTTGGTGCTCTTTAGACTCAGTTATTTCCAATATCTCACAGTTGACATTTTCCAGTAATAGTCAAGTGCCTTAATTCGTTTTATTAGAATGAATAGAAGTAGATCCTGTCTGGGAAAACTAAATTACCTAATCTATTTAAAGGAGTCTCTATGCTTCTGCTAAAATTTTTTTACCTTTGATAAATAGCTTCTGTTTAACATCACATCACAGAATCAAAATGATACAGAATTTTTGGACTGGAATCTGGATTCTTTTTCTGCTGGAGTCAAAGAATGAATCTGCGAACAGAGGGTAGTATAGCAAAGGTGGAGATTTATTGGAGAAC